TAGCTGGGATTACAGTCATGCGCCTCCATGCCCAGCTAATTTTTGTATCTTTAGTAAAAATGGGGTTTCACTATATTGGTCAGGCTGGTCTTGAACTCCTGACATAGTGATCCGCCCACCCTGGCCTCCCAAAGTGCCTACACTCATCACCACTCTTGCATCTCAGAAAAAGTACAAGAAAATGTGAATGAATACTTGTTAGCTTTTTGGAGGAGTGAACACATTACATGCTTTGAAGCAACAGAAGAAATTACAGGGACAGGATTAACAGATTTAACTCTATAAAAAACTTTACACTTCTGTACAAAAATAAAATAAGAAGACATAGAGAAACATATTTATAGTATGTGTGCACATATACACACACATCAACAAGAAATAAAGTGAATATATGTAATTACATAATGGATTCCCTCAGAGTGGAAAACTAATTTATGTTATATTCATACAGTGGAATTTAGTTTAGCCACTGAAATGAATAAAATTGATCTTATAATTTGTCAAAATGAGTTTTTAAAAAGCAAGTTGCAGGATACTAACTTTAGTATATTATCAGTCATATAAAGTTTAAAAACTAACGAGTGTGTGTGTGTGTTTATGTGTGTGTGAGAAAAAGAGAGAGAGAAATATAAAGAGAGATGACCAAGGACTAAAAATATTAAAATGTGGAAGGGAAAGATGTAAAGCAACAGTAAGTGATAAATTACTTCTGGAGGAGAGGGTGGGAAATGGTATCTGGGAAGGTTACAAAGGGAGCTTTAAATATATCTGTTACTTTTCCATATGTCTGAAATATTCTGTAATTAAAAAAACAGGACTTACAAGTTGCTAAGGAAGAACTCCTAAAATTCCAAAATACGTATGTGAAAACAACATAACTAAACAATTTATAGGAAAGGAAATATACACATAGAAAAATGTGTAGCCTCCTTAGTAATCAAAGAAGATTAAAATGAGACAACAATCATATCTATTAAATTAGTTTTAAAAGATTTTTTACAAGAAAAAACATTGTTGCATGTAGTCCAGAGATTAGTATGATGTTTTAAATATGTATACAAGATACAGACTCTTATATTTTCACAGTGGAATGTATGACTATCTAGTGTAAAAATTTCAAGCAATGTTTGAGATTTTTCACTTTTTTCTTTCCTTTACAGTTAAGACTACACTCATCACCACCCTTGAATCTCAGGAACAAATGTTTCTTTTAAAGAACTTCAAACTTTCTGGAAAGAAAGGAGACTCATGAAAGTAGCTAAGGACAGAGTCTAAATGTTTACCAGATAACCAACTCAGTACTTAAATGCTCCTCAAATAAAACTTCTAATTCTCAAATATCCACCAAATCCTCAAACTTTTCCCAAAATATTCAAGACAATTCATAATCCTGCAAATCAAATCCAGACAGTGCAGAGCCCCACCTCCTGTTCATCCATTAGTATGTATGAGCGTGCACATGTGCGCACACACACACGTGTGCGCGCACACCCCCCCCCCCCCAGAGTTTACTTGTGGTTTTGTTTTTAAGGACATATCAGTCAAGACAAAACTCGTCTTTTGTGAAACAGCAGGCCTCTTCCACAACAGGGCCTTCCTCTAACTCCCCAGTGACTGTCATCAACACTTCACTTCACTTTTTCCATTTGTTTTTCGAAAGAATGGTCGGGGCATCAGTGGAATAGAGATGTCGAGGCAGCGGGAGGCATTTTTATTTTTGTTTTTGTGTTTTCACAAGGGAGCCCTCAATATATTAAATTTCTGGCTCTCCTCAGTTCCTGAAGCTGTTTCTTTGGGACTCCATTCTTCTGTGAAGTTTTTCGTCCTCCAGCTCCTCCCACGTGGCTAAAGAGAGAGAGAGCAAAGAAAAAGTTGCACTTCCTTTTAGAATCTAAATATTTGAGTTCCTGAGTAAACGGAGGCGTGTTTGTGTGACAGTTCTCACCAATTCATGCCTAGTGGTGATTTCAAGCTAAAATAAAAGAGAAGTTGGCGGTTTGCAGGTTCAAAGGTGTCTAAAAAAGAATGGCCAGAATGTATGCATCAATTTAATAGGAGGATTCAGGATACCAGAGGGTGAGTAAGGAAGATCTAAGGTGCGCTGAAGCTGCTCAATGCAGTGCTTCACTTCAGAAACCCTTGAGGCTCAAGTGAGGAACAATGGATGGGATAATAAGAGCCAACTCCCCCAGAGGCTGTGCCGTAGGCCAGACGCTATACCAATAACTTTACACGGATTCATTCATTTAGTCTTCCCATAAACCTATGATGAAGATAGCATGATCACTCCCATTTTACAGACAAAGAGACTGAGGCCCAGGGAAATTATACAACTTGCACAGGACCGCAGAGCTGGAAAAGCAACAAGGCAGGACTTTCACCAGGCACTAGGCACTCCAGCTAGAAGCCATGCTCTAAGTTCCTATGCTGGAATCTCCTGTACTTGACCAGAAACCAGATGGGAAGAGGAGAAAAGAGAGTTAAGCTGAATGTTCTTGGCGAATTACTCCCCAGTATATTTTAGTTCAGACCACGGGTTCAACACTATGGCATTTACTCTGCACCCTCGTTGTAAGGAGCTTTGGGGATGCACGGGTGAGGAAAGCTTGCACTATGCTCCCCAGGGCCGTGCACCCCAGAGAGATGGACAGGTATATATACATATATTTTCTTTTCTTTTCTTTTCTTTTGAAACAGAGTCTCACACTGTCACCCGGACTGGAGTGCAGTGGTGTGATCTCGACTCACTGCAAGCTCCACCTCCCAGGTTCACGTCATTCTCCTGCCTCAGCCTCCCAAGTAGCTGGGACCATAGGCGCCCACCACCGCACCCGGCTAATTTTTTGTGTTTCTAGTAGAAACGGGTTTCACTATGTTGGCCAGACTGTTCTTGAACTTCTGACCTTGTGATCCACCTACTTCAGCCTCCCAAAGTGCTGGGATTACAGGAGTGAGCCACTAAGCCCTGCCATATTCAGAATATTTTTAACATACATTTTAAATTTTAGAACAGTTTTAGATTTACAGAAAAATGGCTGTAGTTCCCATATGCTTTGCATCCAGTTTCCCCTATGATGAATAACTCACATTAGTGTGATATATTTGCTACAATGAATAAACCCACATGATACATTATTATTAACATTATTATTAACTAAAGTCCATAGTAAATTTTTTTAAGTATACTTTATTTGCTAGTTTTTACCTAGTGTCTTTTTTCTGTTCCAGGACTCCATCCAGGGTAGCACATTACATTTAGTTGTCATTTCTCCTTCGGCTCCTCTTGGCTGTGACTGTTTCTCAGACTTAACTTGTTTTTGATGACTTTGACAGTTTTCAGGCATATTGGTAAGTATTTTGTAGAATTCCCCTCAATTGAGATTTGTATGTTTTTTCATGCTTAGTGATATGTTTGGTTGTGTCCCCACCAAAATCTCGTCTTTAATTATAATCCCCATAATCCCCACATGTTGTGGGAGGGATCCAGTAGGAAGTGATTGGATCGTGGGGGCGGTTCCCCCATGCTCTTCTCATGATAGTAAGTTCTCACAAGATCCGACAGTTTTGTTGTTGTTGTTGCTGTTGTTGTTGAGACAGAGTCTCGCTCTGTCACCCAGGCTGGAGTGCAATGGTGCTGTCTTGGCTCACTGTAACCTCCGCCTCCCAGGTTCAAGTGATTTTCCTGCCTCAGCCTCCTGAGTAGCTGGGATTACAGGCACCCGCCACAGCTAAATTTTGTATTTTTAGTAGAGACGGAGTTTCACCAGGTTGGCCAGGCTGGTCTCGAATTCCTGACCTCAGGTGATCCACCCGCCTTGGCCTCCCAAAGTGCTGGGATTATAGGCGTGAGCCATTGTGTGCGGTGATTTGATGGTTTTATAAGGGGGCTCTTCCTCATTTACTCGGCACTTCTTCCTGTGCCTTGTGAAGAAGGTGCCTTGCTTTTCCTTTGCCTTCTGCCGATGATTGCGTTTCCTGAGGCTTCGCCAGCCATGCTGAACTGTGAATCAATTAAATTTCTTTCCTTTATAAATTACCCAGTCTCAGGCAGTTCTTTATAGCAGTGTGAAAACAGACTAATACAGTTAGACTAGGATTATATATTTTTGGGGAGGAAGACCCCAGAGGTAAAGTGCCATTGTCATCTCATCATGTCAGTGTACACACTACCAACATGACTTACCACCGTTGACGTTAATCTTGATCACCTGGCTGAGGTAGTATCTGTTAGATTTCCTCACTGTAAATTTACTTTTTATTACCTGTGTTTCCACGCTGTACTTGTTGGAAGGAAGTCATTAAGTGACTTCTCACACTTAGGGAGAATAACCAGGAATTTTGTTAGCCAGTTGTTAAATCTTTGGTAGCTCGAAGTCAGCTATGGTGGGAATACTGACATCATGGCAATTAGCAAACTCTGCAAATCTGGGCTCGTTCTGGGGAGTTGGTTTCCTAGTGCACCACTGCATGTGTCGCTTGAGCTGAGTCTCAGGAGATGATAGGTGGGTGGGCAAGTAGAGAGGCATTTGGATCAAGTGGCTCACATGGTATAAGTGAGGACTTGGAGGCAAGAGGGAGGGTGCTATGCTTACAGGACGTGGATTGGGATTAGAAGAAGCTTGGCACAGACATATAGCCACCTGGGAACCACACAGAAACCATAACCCAAAGGGTTTTAATGTAAATAGGGTTGGAACCTTAAAGGACCTACTTTTGTTTTTTTTCTTTTCAGAATAGTAATAACTACCATTTGTTGAGTGCCTACTACGGACAGGTGCTTTTTCATATATAAAATTCCTTTCAATCACCACAAACCTATGGGGTGGATATTGTTATCCCATTTTACAAATAAGAAAACTAGGGTTAAGTGGTTTGTTTGAGAATACAACCAGCAATCAGCAAAACTGAGATTCAAACCTCCTGTGTAAATCCAGCCAAGCTGTTCTCTCTGCTTAACTTACTTCCTTCTTCCAGGAGCATTGGTTACTAGTAGGATCTGTTTCAAGATGGTGGAATGGCAATTGATGGTGAGATTCCAGGACTTGATTAGTGATGAGACTGCCATTTGCTGTTCAGGACATTCCATCACAGTTCATACTCGTGGAAGTGCATGAGAACCGGGACAAGCACCACTCTGTAGACTCCAGAGGTTTCACTTTGGACCAGGCAAACTATATTGACACTTTAACTTCTAGTCTTCCAGACAAAGTATCCATCTTAGTAATATTTTATTTTTCTTGTGGGTGTATCATTAAGGGAGCAGAAATTATGATACCCCTAAACTTTGTATCTTAATTGAACTCTGTGGTATCTTTACGATTTAATTTAATAGGTGACTTCAGCTATTGTTTTCAAAGGCAATTTTTAAGAAGCAGACTTATAGAAACTCCGGACTACAGTTCATCATTAGAGTTTTGGTTAACTCTACAAAACTGTATGATCTACATGCATACTGAACAAATGCATATAAAATGCAATATATTTCACTTCAAAAGCTTAAACATAAGAATCACTAAGAGTTTATGTCATATTTAAGGCACATGAAATGCTACTTGATCTGTTTCCATTTGAGTCATTCAGGGAGTTTAAAGCTATTTTAGGATAAATAATCTTAAAGAAGCTCTAGAAGGTTTGAATGGGATTTGCTTAAATAATAGAGAATATTATATTGCTTTATTAAACTTTAGTTACCATTTTTAACTAAGACTTCATTGGTCTTATTAAGGTCTGGGTAATATTAGAAACTGTTGTTAAATGATGGTAATGCTATTTTGACTCTCTCCCTCTCACATCATTGAGACTCTTTAAACTGTACAACTAGTGGTGGGGTGGTGCAAAAGTTACATTCAAGGGAATTTTGTTTTATTTGGTCTACTTCCCTTAACTTCCTTGTCCCCAGCCCCAGCTGCCTCTTTTACTCAGAGATCTGGCCTGAGATGATTGGACCAAGAACAAACACCTGCCCCAGTGGGGAGCCCATTTATAAACCAGCTGAGCTAATCTTCCTCCCAAGAGCATTTATGTTTGGAGAAAGAGAGACTGAGTCAGCCTGCTGATGGATGGTGATGGACCAAATAAAGGTCATATGGAGTCAGGGTTGGAGTCAGTCCATAAACAAGTTGAAGTCATGTGGGGGTAGACCATGGGAAGCAGGAGAAACTGCTCTGTGCAGACAAATGGGAGAATAGAGCTAAGGCCAGAGAGATCCGGGGCATGCAAGAATGAGAGAAGAGCCCCAGTTCAGAAAACCACCTGGCCGGATGTCACCTGGTTTTCTGGCCCTGGATGCCTGCGAGACTGCTTGTTATCCATTGTATTAAGCTCTCTAGGTGGGTTTCTCTCACCTACAACCCAAGTGATTCCAGACTAAGACAACTTCATGCACCAAATGGCAAATACAGGCTATCAAATAGTTCCCTACCTCTTCAGTATCTCCACCAAGTCACCCAGACTGCAGAGGTCTATGGTGCAACATAGGGATACATGGAGGAATAGGCAAGATGGAGGAAATGAGTATACAGGACATTGTCCATATGTTTTACAGTTTATAAATGCCCAACTCGCAATTTGTCATTTTCTGTTAGCTTTTTCCATGTGTCTTTTTCACCTGCAATCTTGTGGGCCAATCAGTACGTTCTGCCCAGATCAGGGTTCAACGCCCACAACATGTCACTGCCAAGTCATGGGCCCATGTCTTGAGTGTCACATTCCAGCAGGGCACTCTCCTCCTCTGCTTTAGAAAGGTGATGCTGAAATAGAGTTTTATTTATTCGATACATATTTACTGGCTGCCTGCTATAGCTAGACACTGTGCAAGGTGCCAAGGATACGGCAATGAGCTAATGGCATATGTCTTACTTGCATGGACTTATATTGGTGGGGAGGGAGTACACTTGCAATGAACACTATGAAAAGCATAAGCAGGATGATTTGTGATGGTAGGGGTCAATGAGGATCCTACTTAGATGGGTTGGTTAAGAAAGGCCTCTCGAGGATGAGAAAGAGCCAATCATGAACAAATTTTAAAATAGAAGAAATGACACACACAAAGACCCTTCCACAGGAAAGAGCTTGGTGACATCAAGGGATTGAGAGAAGTCAGAGAAGGCAGAGCGGTTGGATCATGTGGTCTCTCTGATACACACCCCTTTGGTGCCTGCTGTCCCACACAGTTTTCCTTTTTGCCTGAGGTATTAGCCTTATCTGGATATTTGTCCCCATGTCTGTTGGTTGGACCTGCACAATCTCTCTCCTGTTCCACCTCTCCTTTCCTGTCCTGCAGCTGCTGGTCTGCTCAGGCTTCCTCCTCACTCACCTGATCTCTGCAACTACCTTCTAACTAATGGGGCAGTGACTTTGTCCTGTTCACTCTTGTAGCTTAGCATCAACTGTCTGTCATTAGTAGGTGCCTAAAAAGTATTTGCTGAATGAATGAATGAATGAATGAAATGTCTGGTCCAGTCTTCACCCCTGTGTTGCATGCTACTGTCAGGATTATTCTGTATCCCTGTGTTGCATGCTACTGTCAGGATTATTGCTCTAAGTTAGAGATCCAATTATCTCACTTATCAGCCTTCCGGTGGTTGGCCCCCATTGTCACATGACTAAAACCCTCCATATTGCCTTCATAGGTCTTCAGAATTTGATCCCAATCTGCCTTTAAGGCTCATTTCCCAAACACTAAACCCAGCCACTCTGAAATACTATCTCTTGGTGACACCATGAACTACCTCTGCTTATAGTTTGTTCCCCCTACGGGGTTTGCCTACCTGCCATTCTTCAAGCTTCAGCTCAAAAGTCACCGGCTTTTCATGTCCCTAGTCCCACTTTCTCCCACTGGAGACAACTCACCATCTCTACTAAGCTCAGAACAATTTGTTCCTATTGCTCTGACAGCCTGGATTAGCCATGAGTTTGCATTGGTCTTTCTCTCCTGAGAGATGGCAAACCCCCTCAGGGCCCAGGAGCTGCATCTTACTCATCTTCGTGACCCCAGTTCTTAACACAGAGGCACATGTGATATTAATAGTGACAGCAAAAAATCTACTAAGTGCTTGCAAAGTGCCAGCCTATTTTACACAATTAGCTCTCTAGTCCTCAAAATAATCTTAGGAGGCAGATCATATTGTGGTTCCTATTTTAGAAGTGAGGAAACTGAGACTTAGAGAAGTTAAAGAAATTGCCTGGAGTTGCACAGGTAGCAAGTGACGGCAGAGCCCGATTTAAACACAGTCTGACTGCAAAGCCCACAAGTGAAACCATGACAAAGTGCTGTATCCCACAGTGTCCGCTAACTGCTTCTTAGAATCACCTGAGGAACTCTGAAAACCCATCAATGTCCTGGCTCCATCCCATACAAACAACTGAACGACTGGACTACGAAAGCACTAAACTGGGGCATAGACAGTTTCGAACCTTGACCATAAGTATGACCTGGAGCATTTGTTAAATGTGTAGATCACCACACCTCTCTTCCAGATAATACCATTTCAGTAGATTATGGTTGAAGCTGGGCAACTTGTTGTTGATGAGGTACCCCAGGTGATTCATATCTTAAGGGAAGTTAGGGAAATAAAGCTAGAGAGTAGGTTGCAGAGTCATTTAAGTAGGTCTCTAAACATTCAACAGTCTGTGATGGTAGAAAGACCCTGTGGAGGATTTTTGACTGTTTCATCATGGGGCTGAGCTGAAAATGATGAATAACACAGTAAATTGGCATGGCTCTTTGGGAACCCTAAGCTGAAATAGCCAATAGCACTGCACAAGTATACATCTTCAAAACCATCCACTGATAGTGCTGCAACCAAAAAATAGTATTTTGATGGTATTTCTTTGTCTTGAGCATTCTATATACTTTAGCCAAAAACTGAAAGAGAGGCCTCGTGATCCTTTAAGAAGTGGAGGGGGATAATACAGCCCCAGGGAAGTACGGGCTGAGGCTTTTTCCACCTCCTCTCCTGGGGCCTCCTGAACTCCACCTGCCAACACACATACATGTGAACACATGTACACACCTACATCTACCCACACACACACAGGTGGCAAAGCAGATCACTTCCTTGATTTTCTGAAATGTAGACTTAGTAAGCACCAGGTGGGATGCAGCCACATTACCTGTCCTTGCCTCCCAGGGCTGACTCTATGTTCCCTTTCTGATATGGTTTGGCTCTGTGTCGCCACCCAAATCTCATCTTGAATTGTACTCCTATAATTCCCACATACTGTGGGAGGGACCCAGTGGGGGATAATTTGAATCAAGGAAGTGGTTTCCCCCATACTGTTCTCATGGTGGTGAATAAGTCTCACAAGATCTGATGGGTTTATCAGGGGTTTCTGCTTTTGCATCTTCCTCATCTTTTCTTGCCACTGCCATGTGAGAAGTGCCTTTCACTTCCTGCCGTGATTCTGAGGCCTTCCCAGCCATGTGGAACTGTTTTCTTCCCAGTCTCGGGTATGTCTTTATCAGCAATGTGAAAATGGGCTAATACACTTTCCATGGTCTCCTGTCTTATCACCGGCTCTCTGAAGTCCTGACCAGCTGGTTTCTAAGCTATTTCATGATCATCATTTTGATCCACTCCATTTTCTGCCTTCTGACTGTTGTGTTTACTGACCTTTACCAAGATTGAAAAGAAAATGCCTCATCTTTTACATGCAATGCATAGAACTAGACTCCTGAATCCAAGAAAAATATCTTCCTTGCTGCTCTCTTCTCTTTCCTCCATTCTCATCCCAAGAGAAGCCCTGAATCTCTTTATGAATAACATTCAAGTTCTACAACTTGCTCTGCCAGAATAATCTTCCTAATGGGAAATATAATGGGGCCTCCCACTGACAAAGAAGACCACCCCATCTGCAGCTAGGGACAAGAGACACTCCCAGCCCAGATGTAAAGAAATGCAGCAGATCGTGGTTTTGTGTCTATTCATTGCTTATTTAATATTTGAGCATCTTTTTCTAAAGATATTTCTATTGAACTCACTTGTGGTGTCACCATCTGGAAAATATCAAGCCTCACCCCACTGAGGTAAACCCTTATTGCGTATTTTTTTCCCTTTTATGTGAGCCCAGTGGGCACGAAGTGTGTATCTCTATGTTTAGCACAGTTCCTCACCAAGGCAGCTCTCAAGCACATGACGCTCTCTAAATAAATCAGCGTTGTGTAGACCCATTAGCAAGCCCTTCCCGATTGATGCTAACAGAACGTTTCAATGGGGCTCTCGGGAGCCACCATGACTTCCTGATGTGAGGTCCTTTTATATTTTAAAGTGACAGATTAGGGTTTTAAGAGAGAGCAAGCTGCTAAGAACTCATTGATTTCATTAAAACCAGTTTTTAAATTGGACCAAATCTTGTCCCAGGTCTAAAATCAGACTGCTGTCTAAACCCACAAATACAAGTTTTAGTCAGCTCTCAAGGACACAGGCCAACAGGGCAAGCAGTGTGCCACAGACAGTTCAACTAATGGAAATCAAAATCCAGCTGTGTTAGACAAGAGGGTTGATTAAGATGAAAATTTGTATTCCGGTGGAGAGAATGCTCAGATTTTGTTCAGTGGGTTTATCATCCTTGTATTTTGAAAGGTGTTAATAAAATTAATTTCCATTCTCTGGGTGTTCATAAATGGTTGGTGCAGAGAAGTATCTAGGGTATGGTCCAACTGACAGATGGAAGATGAGTCTTCATTGCAGATAAGGCAAAAGTGAGTAATATTTAACTATCCAAAAAATTTTACAACTTTGTGCCAGGGCATATGGTTACTAGAGAGAATACACACCCCGACCTTCCTCACAGGAACATACTACCGAGCATGTTGAGTTAGCCTCAGATAGAGATGATGTGTTTCTGGCTATTGTTTAAAAATTACCCATTCATTTCGTGATAAACTCATTTCCCCACTATGCTTAATAAGTACTACATAGAGGCACTGAAAACAGCGATTCTGGGTAAAAAGGACAAAAGTGAGATTGAGTTAGGAAGGAGGAAAGGAGATGAACCCGCTCCACTTTTGACCTGAATTATCACAGAGAGGCAATTGTGAAGCTGTTATGGAGCGGTTTACTCTCACAAGAATGATCCTCTTGCAGGCATTCTCTTCCCTCTCTACCAGCACAGCCTTGAATTTCAAAGGCAAAGCCTCATGTGAGTATAATAGACAGGTTTGCCTACTCAGATCCCCTGCCAGGACAGGGGTCAGTGCACAAAGTTGTTAGGTAGCGCCCTTACACGTCCATTCTCGTCATCCCACACCTCCCCACAGACCTCACCGCGGTGCATTTCCGGCTCCCTTTGAGAGTCTCTTCCATGTTATCACATGCTCATTATTCCTGCCATTTGCAGCGGCACGTTGCTCTTTTTCAGGCCATTTGGCAGTTCATCTGGTATGGAATCTGGCAACAATTTACCATACAGCAGGAGATGATATAAAAAACCATTCTGTTGACATAGTACTGAGACAATGTTAAAATCCAGATATGATATTAAGTCATCTGTTCGTCATATATAAATTGAGGGGACGAATTCTGCTGGTTTGCTTGCTGCCCCTGAGATAATTAGATATGTCAATTTTAAAAAGCATTGTCTAGCCTGGGCAACCCGGTGAAACTCCATCTCTATAAAAAATACAAAAATTAGCCAAGTGTGGTGGTGGCACCTGTAGTTCCGGCTACTTGGGAGTGGGAAGGGTGGGAGCTGAGGTGGGAAGATTGCTTGAGCCTGGGTGGTCGAGGCTTCAGTGAGCTGGGATCGTGCCTCTACACTCCAGCCTGGGTGACAAAGCAAGACCCTGCCTCAAAAATAAATAAATACATAAATAAATAAAAAGTATTGTCCTAGCACAGATTTTGGACATTCCAGAATATTGAAATAAAATAACATTTCTCAAAAGGGAAGTGACCCAAGTGAAACTATCGTATGCATCTCCTCTTTTCTTTAGCAAAAAGAGCTTTTGTGGGGAAAACAGCAGGTGAAATGAGATTTTTCACCAGGAGACCTTTAGGAGGAGTAACCCACTCTGTTCATAAGCACACACTAAACAAGTACTTCAGGGTTTGTATGTGCTAAGGAAGGTGTTGGGTGCCTGAACAGAGAGAAGTCTGAGCCATGCTTGCTCCTTCTCAAGGATCTGGAAGTACAGTGTAGATGACTGACAAGCCAGCAAGTCATGACCTCATGGTATAGACAGTGCTGGAACAGAGGTGTGTGCAAGTGCACTGGAGGGCCTGAGGAGGAGTGACTAAGGCTGCCTGACAGGAAGTAGGCAATAATGAAAGATGAGGCATTTAACTTTGTGTCCTGCAACCCTGTTATAGTGGCTTATTAGTTCCAGAAGTTTT